AAGTGTTGGTTATGGAAGTGTTTGGATTGATTCGATATAGCACTAAAATGTATATCGTCATCAATTGTAAAGTATAGAAGTGATTCTATGTTATGTTGATACAGTACCGAAATGTGTATCTTTCGCAAAGTGTGGGAATGGTTTATGTGTTCTTGATACAGCATTAAAATGTGTATCCCTCATGAATTTTGTAAGTGTTTTAAAGATGAGTCTAAATCTCATTAAGTTATTTGGCTAGGTGTTGAGCCTTGTTTTCAAACTCAAAATTGGAAAAGACATGGGAAATGAAATGTAACATGGACTTAATGTCATGAAATCGTAATATGATATATGTGGATGTATCTGTGTTGACCATCTATCAACTACTAATCTTTTAGTCATTGTTCATGGCTGGTTTAGTGTATTTCTACCGGGCTGTGGCTCACCCTTTATGGGACATCATTTTCAGGTATAGGTAACATGCCACCTCCAAGGACATAGCTTGGGAGGCTAGAGGCAGACAGACTGCTTGTTATTTGCTTTCTTTTGATGTATTACATGTGAATTCAAGCCAAAGGCTTAATATGTATTGAGTTAGCACTCTTCTTTTTGTAACCAAGTGTTAACTTGTAAAGCTGTAAGCCCGTAGGGCATTTGCTTTTGTTGTTAACATGTAATACTTTTGTAAGGAACTACTCTGATGAATAGAAGAATATTTATCTTTTATACCAATGCATGTCTATGTTGATGGGTTTTAATGTTATTATTTTGATGGCGTTACAAGTTCTATTTATTTATTTATTTTTAATTATATGTTTTATAAGCAATGAAACGGTAAAGAAAGTTAAAACTTTCAATTTCCTTTTCCTTCTTTTTTCTCACATACCAAGCAACAATGCATAAGATTCAAACTTCATTTTTCTCTTTCTCTCAACAATCAACTGTCAAACTTAAAAAAGAGAGAGAGAGGGAGAGAAAATCTAAAAAAACAGAGATTGGAGTACTAACCAGAGCGTCGAGAAACAATCTGCAAGTAAGAACAAAACACAATCAGAAATCAAACAAAAAATTGAAAAAGAACAAAAAAAAAATCACAAAAATAAAAAATTCTGACAAACCGTCATTTTGTCAACCCATATTTGGTGAGTAAAAATATGACTATTGATAATTATGACCATTGATAATTAAAGAGAGTCTCAACCCATTTAACTAAGATGAAATAAAAATGATTCTTAATTTGAAATCCATTTTTCCTTAACCCCCATTTGAGAGAGAGAGAGAGAGAAGTGGGTGTTAAAACCCAATTGATTATTAAAGAAAAAAAACACAATACTGAATTTCATTTTGTATTTTGAGACATTTGAGACAATTGATAAAATTTTTAAAATTCTGACAAACTGTCATTTTGTCAACCCATATTTGGTGAGTAAAAATAAGACTATTGATAATTAAATAAAGTCTCAACCCATTTAACTAAGATGAAATAAAAATGATTCTTAATTTGAAATCCATTTTTCCTTAACCCCCATTTGATAGAGAGAGAGACGTGGGTGTTGAAACCCAATTGATTATTAAACAAAAAAACACAATACAAAATTTTAACATTTGTTGAAACCCAATCTATTTTGTTTAACATTTGATAAAAATTTTAAAATGTTTAACATTTTTGTTTTTGCTATAAAAGATTAAAATAATTTTTATCACCAAAAACATGGTGCAAAATAAAATGGGCTTTTGATTATGCAACAAAATAAAACAGGGTGCAAACCCCTCTTGTTGGCACCAGATCTTTTGGGTTTTAATTTAATGTTTCAATTTCATTCCTATAATGTTTCAATTTCAATTTCGGTTTGTCATTGGTAGGGTTCAATGAGATTTTTGCTTCAGAATTTTTTTTTAAAAGAGAGTCTCAACCCATAAGATGAAATAAAAATAATTCTTAACATGAAATCCATTTTTCCTTAACCCCCGTTTGATAGAGAGAGAGAGAGAGAGAGAGAGAAGCGGGTGTTGAAACCCAATTGATTATTAAAGAAAAAAAAACACAATACAGAATTTTATTTTGTATTTTGAGACATTTGATAAAATTTTAAAAATTCTGACAAACCGACATTTTTTCAACCCATATTTGGTGAGTAAAAATATGACTATTGATAATTATGACCATTGATAATTGTAGAGAGTCTCAACCCATTTAACTAAGATGCAATAAAAATGATTCTTAATTTGAAATCCATTTTTCCTTAACCCCCATTTGATAGAGAGACAGAGAAGTGGGTGTTGAAACCCAATTGATTACTAAACAAAAAAACACAATACAAAATTTTAACATTCGTTGAAACCCAATCTATTTTGTTTAACATTTGATAAAAATTTTAAAATGTTTAACATTTTTGTTTTTGCTATTAAAGATTATAAGAATTTTTATCACTAAAAACATGGTGCAAAATAAAATGGGCTTTTGATTATGCAACAAAATAAAACATGGTGCAAACAGCCCTATAAATAAAACAGGGTGCAAACCCCTCTTGTTGGCACTAGATCTTTTGGGTTTCAATTTAATGTTTCAATTTCATCCCTATAATGTTTCAATTTCAATTTCAGTTTGTCATTGGTAGGGTTCAATGAGATTTTTGCTTCAGAATTTTTTTTTAAAAGAGAGTCTCAACCCATAAGATGAAATAAAAACAATTCTTAACATGAAATCCATTTTTCCTTAACCCCATTTGATAGAGAGAGAGAGAGAGAGAGAAGCGGGTGTTGAAACCCAATTGATTATTAAAGAAAAAAAACACAATACAGAATTTTATTTTGTATTTTGAGACATTTGATAAAATTTTAAAAATTCTGACAAACCGACATTTTTTCAACCCATATTTGGTGAGTAAAAATATGACTATTGATAATTATGACCATTGATACTTGCAGAGAGTCTCAACCCATTTAACTAAGATGCAATAAAAATGATTTTTAATTTGAAATCCATTTTTCCTTAACCCCCATTTGGTAGAGAGAGAGAGAAGTGGGTGTTGAAACCCAATTGATTATTAAACAAAAAAACACAATAAAAATTTTAACATTTGTTGAAACCCAATCTATTTTGTTTAACATTTGATAAAAATTTTAAAATGTTTAACATTTTTGTTTTTGCTATTAAAGATTATAAGAATTTTTATCACCAAAAACATGGTGCAAAATAAAATGGGCTTTTGATTATGCAACAAAATAAAACAGGGTGCAAACAGCCCTATAAATAAAACAGGGCGCAAACAGGGTGCAAACCCCTCTTGTTGGCACCAGATCTTTTTGCTATAAATAAAACAGGGTGCAAACAGGGTCCCACTTGGTGAATCAAACTTATAAAATTTAGCTTGTTTAATCAAATTTTTTTTTTCATTTTTGGGTTTGTTTTTGTGATATTGTTTGATCAAGTTGAGAACATCCCAAAGATCCAAAAATAAAGCCACAATCACCAACCCCATCTATAGAACAAAGCCCCTCAAGATTTCTTAAAAATTAATAACAAAGTCAGATATTGAAATAAACTCCAAACAATCTCCATCCCTCAATCACAAACAAATCTTGACCTTGGAAAAATCCAACACCTTTACCCACTCTACACATGCTCCGTTAAAAATACATTCATTCCAAAACTTCCAAAGAGACTAAAAAATAGCAATCAGAATTGAAAACCCATATCCAACCCACCTGATAATGATATTGTCAGTTTTTGTGATATTGTTTGATCAAATTTAGCTTTATTTTTGTGATATTGTTTTTCTATAGAATTGTTTTTGTGATCAATTTAATCAAACTTTGATCAAACTTATACAAAACACAAATCATAATCTAAATTGTTAAACTTAATTGTTAAACTTATAGAATTGTTAAATACTTTTGTGGCCAACACGCTATTGATTAAACTTATAGAATTGTTAAATTTTTTTGTACCATAATCTTAGTACAAAACACAAATCAAAGAGATTAAACAATCTTAAAAAAACCTAATCCAATCTAATTCAGTACCCAATCTAACCCAATACACACCAACTATATCACAAAAACAATATCACAATGAATGAAATACATAGACAATATGACAGAATAAAATATGGGAAAGAATAAAATATGACAATATCATAATGAATGAAATACATATACATAGACAATATGACAGAATATCACAAAAACAATATGACAGAATAAAATACATAGACACATTTCAATGAAATCAATGAAGGGTTCAATAAAAGAAAGAGATGAATCCATCTCTTAACATGGGAAAGAGAGGCAGAGTAAGTGAAGAAACACAAACAAATCTAAAACAAACAAATCATCTTGGCCTATAAACAAATGTTTTGCTTCAGAATTTTTGCTTCGGAGTGAATTTTTGCTTCTGAATTTTTGCTTGAAGAAACAAATGTTTTTGAAGGTTGATTCCTAAGAAGGTTGATTTAAACTCAAATTTATCAAACTTACATACCCTAGAATCAACTTATAGCCAACACGCTATTGATCAAACTTACAGAATTGTTAAATTTTTTTGTCTCATAATCTTAGTACAAAACACAAATCAAAGAGATTAAACAATCTTAAAAAAGCCTAATCCAATCTAATTCAGTACCCAATCTAACCCAATACACACCTACTATTGTTCATGACAGAATAAAATTCATAGACACATTTAAATGAAATCAATGAAGGGTTCAATAAAAGAAAGAGATGAATCCATCTCTTAACATGGGAAAGAGAGGCAGAGTAAGTGAAGAAACACAAACAAATCATCTTGACCCATAAACAAATGTTTTGCTTTAGAATTTTTGCTTCAGAGATAAATTTTGCTTCAGAATTTTTGCTTGAAGAAACAAATCTTTTTGAAAAAACAAATCAAACCCTCCAAATGCTTCAGAATTTTTTTTGAAAAAACAAATACATTTTTGCTTCAAAAACAAACCCTCCGAATGTTTGAAGAAACACATTTTTGCTTCAGGAAAAAACAAACTGAAGGTGGGGATGACGGGATGAGCCTACCTGGTGATGGTGGAGAAGAGAGCTTTCGATTGAGCTTTGTTCTTCCTTCTTCAAAGCTTTCTCAGAGCTCTTTGTTCATTGATACAGATGATACATATGATGTAAAGAGTGCCTTACCTGGTAAGTGCAGTGGGTTGGTAAGAGTAGATTGGTAAACAAATCTAAACCATTGAATTTTAGTCATTGATAAATCTAGACCATTGAAACTCTTTTCAATCTTAGCCAGTGTTTTTAAATTGGACAAATCTGAACCATTAAAGATAGTTTGTGAGAGATATATTTTTAAGAATAAATCTGAGCCATTGCTTTTTAAATTAGATAGATCTAAACCATTAATTTCAATGACATTTTCAAACTCACCCTTCCATTGTTATATATATATATATATATATATCTGAGTGTATAGATCTGTTTATTTTAGATCTGTATATCTGAGTGTATAGATCTGTTTCTTCAACCTCTGGTTTTTTTTTTCTCTAAATTTATTTATTTTATATATATATATATATATATATATATATCTGTTTATATATTTCTTTATTATGAATCTGAAGGATTATTTTTATTCAAGATCTGTTTAGATCTGTTTATTTTATATATTATTGAAGATGGTGATGTTGATGATGTTATTCTGTGTGTAGAAATTAGGTTCAAAAGCTCCGGCGGTGGTTCTTCCACCCGGGGGCACTCCGACGATCAAGTCAGTACGTTTCTTAAGGATAATCAAGTATTAAACTGAATACTCAAAGTATGAATTACATACCTTAGACCCACGGGGGTGCCTCTCTTTTATAATATACTCAATCCAAGTCCCACTAGAAGTATGACTTCTATGAACTCCAATTTACTGTTTACTCTGGACTCTTTAAGAGATAATGATAAACTCCCTAAGAGCTTTATCCTTATCTTGGTTAAGTCCCCTCTTTGCCTTAGGACTCTTGCCCCTTATCTCGGATTCCGATATCTTCGGAGATGACCTCGGCTTCTCCGAGATTACCTCGGCTTAACTACCAGGGCACGTGGCACCTCGGCTGACACGTCGGCGTCACCATGCCACGTGTTGGTATACAGAAAATATGTCCCCACAACTGCCCCCTAGGTTCTATTACCTCGTCATTCTGAGGTGATGGAACCTATTCCGAATTTTTTTTTGTTACTTCCTTTCTGAATAATGGCTCAAGAAGACTGCTTTGCCAAGATTATCTCTTTTCAGCCGACGTGTTCTCTTCGGAGAACGTGGCTTCGGTCGTACTCCCCTATGCACATGAGCTGTCATTCATGTCTAACTGTTCCTTCCACGTGTTTCGTCTTTATTGGAGCGTGTTAGTGACGCGCCTGGAAGCTGTCTGTTCGTTTCGTCTGCGCCGTCTGACGCGTGCGTTACCCTAGGCGCAATAATTGCCCTATTTTTGCCGCCGTTTCAAATTTTTTGACAAAACTTCTTTTGCCTCTATTTTTCTTCACTTTGTCTTTCCATCTTCTTGCTTTTTCTCTTCTCGAAAGCTCGTTCTTCCTCTTCAGATCTGCCATTGCTTCAATTTCTTCTCTGGAACTGTTCTTAGTCCCATATTCTTGCAAAGCCTTCTTTGCTGTCGCAACTGGTTTCTGGGTTCGACGAGTATTGCCTCGGCTTCACTTCTCCTGGTAAGACCCCTTCCTTTAATTTCTGTCATTCTCTTTATGTGCCATTGCTAGTCTGTTGCCATTACTGATCTTATTCGAGGTCTGGGATCTATTTGTATCTTGAATTCTGTGGCTATATTCTGAACCTCTATGCTTTTCCATCATTCTTTTTGCCGCTGTTCTTGATTTTTTTCCTGTTCCTCTATTGTTTCTGAAAATTATACCTCTGTTCTTGAATTTGAAACTTCGTTTTTGTTTTCTCTTTTTTGTATCTGCCCCAGATCTGTGCCCTCGATCTTTATCTTAATAGTTACCAGATTTGGGATTTGTCTGTAAAACCCTTAATCTTTAGGGAAACCTGAAAAACGCCCATCTTCTGAAAACATATTCCTCTTAGTTTAGGCTGATATAATGGGTATGTGGAGGCATAGGGTAAATACCCCAACAAGTCTTGAATACTTTAGGCAAGAATTCTCTATCCCAGCCGACGTTCATCTTAAGCTGGCTGGGGATAATGACACTATCGTGCCTACAGACCATACAATGCCTTTTCCAGTAGTTGCTTTCATCGAATGTGGACTTCGGCTTCCACTCGATCCGCTTTTTCGTCAAGTTCTCCATTTCTATAGGCTAAACCCCATGCAACTTACTGTCAATTCCTATAGGGTGATTAACGGTATTATAGCCTTAGCTAGGCAAGAAAACCTAAGAATCACCCTAGCCGACCTTCAATATTGTTATACCATGTGCCCTCTTGATCTGAAGGATAGGGGTTTTGTCTATTACCTTAAGCCGAGATCCACTCAGTACAAGATTATAGCCGACCTTCCAGACTCCAACAAGGGGGCTGGAGATGACTATCTTATTGCCTCTGGAAATTGGGAATTTGGCCCAGATGAAGATGTCCACCTTTACCCTCTTCCTCGAACACTTACAGAGGGCAAGAGTAAGAGCCCTGAGTCAACACTTAGTTTGTTTTCATTCAACACTTAAATAATTTTGTTGTTTCTGACGTCTGATTCTTTGCAGATCTTCATCAACCATCGAAAAATTTTCGTCAATCCTTCTTCCCAGGACCAGATCTGAGAACACTTCTTGGTCTTCCAATCCTTAAACGAAAAGCCCCAGTTTTATTAAACTTTGTCCCCACATACAAATCCACTTTACCCGACGTCCCTCGAAAGAGGAAAAAGAGTCTCTCTCCACCAACAGCCACAACCTTAACTGCTCCTACATCTCGGACGGATCAAGAGTCCACATCTGACCCAGCCGATCTTCCATCAACTTCGGCTCCCTTCTTGATACCAATTCCTGAACGTAAACGCCGACGAAGGCTAGTAAAGACTGCCGAGATGGTTCGTCCGAGGCCTGTCGTTCAAGACCTTCTCGCCGATATTCCAACTGATGCCGAAGCCACACCGGCGCAATCAATGCTCCCCCCCAAACAAAAGAGAGTAAAAAAGGCTCAGCCTAAGGCCAAGACTACAGACGCCGAGGCTGAGGATGCCCTGCCGATTTCGAAGCTAGCTGAGAGCAAAAAATCAACCTCTACTTCAACTAAAAGGTCTGCTGAGGGCCAACCCTCAGGATCTACACAAACGAAGAGGCCAAGGTCATCGTCTGCGACGACCTCGGCTTCGAAGAAGCCCGACGTCCCATGGGCTCCTGATCTATCTCTGGAGGATAGGCCTATCATGGCTAGTGAAAGTGCTGATGATATCAATGTTGCTGTCGCCCTTAGCACCGCTCTTCTTCTACCAAATGACTTGGAGCGAAATGCCAAGCTTAGTGAGTATGAAAATTACGCTCTTATGCTCCAACACTCTACCGCTCAAGTAAGTATTTCTGTTTATACTTGTGTTTTTTCCTTCTGTTTCATTCTGAGAAAATTTTCTGATACTTCTGTTTTCCGTTTTTATTCAGGCTATCCAACATGCCCATTCATTTTCAATGCAATCCTTTGAAAATCGTCAAAGATTGGTTGATATGAAAAGGGAAGCAACTTCAATGAAGAGAGAGATAAGGACTCTTGAAGCAAAAATGAAAAAACTGGAGGATCAGGCCGAGGCTGCAACGAAGAACCAAACCCTGGCTCTTGAAAAGGCCGAAGCTGCTGAAGCCGTTAAAAAGGTAGCTGAAGCTGAGAAAAGGGAGGCCGAGGCTCAGAAGGTCCAAGCGCAAAAAGAACTCCAACAAGCTCTGGCCACCAAGGAGGCCGAAGTCAAAGAGGCCGATGAAAAGGCCTATGCTCAAGGTATGGCCGACGTTGCAGAAGACTACAAACTTCAGGTCAGGCAGGCATGCAACAGGGGATTTTCCCTTGGTTGGATGTCCCTGATAAAGAAGCTTGATCTCCCTGCTGACTCGGCACTGCGCCAGGCTGATGCTAATCTTTTACCATTTCCTCCTCCAAGTCAGACTGAAGATGAGTCAGAGACCGAGGTAGAGGCTGAGGATGAAGACGAAGAGAAAAATGATGAGGATGCTTTAGTGAGGAAGTCCAAGGGTGCTGCTGAGGCCAAGTCCTCTCTTCCAGCAGAGCAAATTTTAGACTTAACTCAAGATGAAGTGGGTGATGAGGCTGAGGAAGTGTCCAAGGAATCTGTTCAAGGGTATCCATCACCTGACCTCCTTCTGACTGACAGAAGTCTTGACGCAACCTTGGCAGAGATAGATGCCGAAATACAAGCGGAGAAGGCGGCCGAGGAGATTCCACCGGAATCATCCGAGGTTCCAGTTCCTGCTGCCGCTGATGTTCAAGAGTCTTGATTTCCCTTTCGTTTTTTCTTTTCTGGATTTTGGACTTTGTTCTTTCTCTTAATTCTTGGACAATGTATATTCCTTCTTGTGGCTGATGTTCTTTCTTCATTATGTAATTGTACTGTTCTTGCAATGGATGTTTCGATCTTATGATGTTCTGCTGTTTGCTTCTGCATAGTTCTATACTTAGGAATTTTTGCATGCTTTATTCTTTTGCTTTCTTTGTGTACTCTTCTCGGGGTTACATACCTCGGGTATAACTGTAAAGCTTTTACTTCGGCAAGATACTGACCTGCAAACCTTGTATAAATTTTGACAAGCATAAAACATGTACTACTCAATGCATACTTTTGCTATCTTCTTTTCAAGTTTTCAACAAGTATTTAAATAGTGATTTCGTTCTAACCTACTTGTAAATTGCTACAAATTTCAACAAGTGGATCAAGGAATAACATCGGCTTAACTTCAACTTGTAAATTGCTACAAATTTCAACAAGTGTTAATATTAATTCAATCCATATTATTTTTATAAAGGTTAAAAATGCCAGATGTTAACTCTCAAGCACCAGTTAACTTTGAAGTACCCGTTAATTCTCAAGTACTCGTTAACTCTCAAGTACCATTTGAGAGTGACGCGTCACAATATTTCAATACTAAATTTACCTATATATGATGATGATGGGATCGAATAATTTATATTACCATGGAATAATTTCAATATTGAATTTATATTCTTTACTTTTTAGGAAATTCAACATTGGAATCGATGGGCTATGCAACTATATATGATGATGATGAGATCGAGTCGGATCAGTCATGTGCCACTTTTGTGTTAGTTGTCATCTTTTTTGTTTTAATTGTTAACATTTTTTACATTTCATTATTAGTATTAATTATTTGTTTTTTTCTTTTTGTTATTTAACAGGAATTCAAGTTGAAGGAGATGATGGAAGTTGTGTGGTTTGTAGAGAAACAATGGATTTGATTTTTTATGTTGTAATGGATATTTTTTTATATTTTTAATTTTAATTTTTGGGTAACCTATCCCTTGCGGGTTGTGCTTGGGATTAATTATTCTCTTTGCTACTTGTTAAATTTTCTTATGTATGTGGGCTGCTGGACAGATGTTTTGTTTGTGCTATTTTGTTGCTACAGGATGTTTTGTGTGTGGGTTGTGTATGGGCTGCTGAATTTTCTTGCTACAGGATGCTATTTTATTGAATATTTGATAGATGCTATATTTGACAGATGCTGCCAGACAGATTTATTGATTTGTATATGTTGGCAGATTATGTTGAATTTTTTGGGTAGCCTATCTTACTTGAATATGTTGACAGATTATGTATTGATTTTTTAGCTTGACAAATTATGTATTGATTTTAGCTTGACAGATTTTTTAGCTTGAAAATTTTTAAATTATTTATTATTTTTTAGCTCGACAGATTATGTATTGATTTTTTAAGTTCTTTGTGATAGGATGAAAGTTCTTTGTGATAGGATTTTTTAAATATGTACAGATTATGTATTGATTTTTTAAATTCTTTGTGATAGGATGAAAGTTCTTTTAATTTTAAAACATGTACAGATTCTTAATAGGATGTTTAAAATTGTTTTTTGAAAAAAAAAATACTGTAATTCGGTCGGGGAATTTGCGGGGTCGGGGATACCCAATCCCTGATTGGGAGCAGGGGCGGGGGGGATATGGGGTCCCCGTCGGGGATCGGGGACGGGGACGGGAAATTTCTCACTATCGGGGATCGGGGACGGGGAGTGTGGTCCCCGACCCCACCCCGCCCCGCCCCGTTGCCATTCCTAGCGGCTGACCACCGGCTTCTCTGAATAATCGACTTACATTTAGGGTCAACATTCAGACAGTGCTCAGAAACAAATGGATCCACCCCTGGTATCTTATATGGTGACCATGCGAATACATCAAGGTTGTCGAGCAAGAAAGTAATTAGCTACTGCCTGTCAGTTTTATTTAAGGAGGCGCCGACCATGACGAACCTGTTAGGATCCTCATCAATTTCAACTCGGTCTAGGGCTTCCGTGGCCTTTTCACTTGGGTGCCGTCCAACATCGTCCAGGCTCTCGTGATCTGGCACCTCAATAGAGTTCACCTTCAGCTCTCTTGGTGTCTCTGCGGTGAGAAGATAATATGCTTGTGCCGATTTCTGGGAACCACGGATTTGTTCGATGCCTCGTTCAGTCAAGCAGCGGAGCAGTTGATGATAGGTGCTGGGCATGGCATGCATGGCATGTAGCCAAGTTCGTCCCATGATAGGATTATACAACAAAGGCAGCTTAATAACCTAGAACTCCACATCTAATGTTCGAGAGCCCGCTTGAACTGATAGCGTGATTTTGCTCAACGGGTATTCTGGATTAGCATTGAAGCCGAATAACGGATAAGGAGCTGTAGACAGGTCCGACTCAGTGAACCCGAGTTTGATGAAGGTCTTGTAATACATAACCTCCAAAGTACTCCCCTAGTCTATGAGAACGCGTTCAACGGTGAATCGATTTACGCGTAGTTCGATGACCAATGGATCAATGTGGGGGAGTGTTATGCCGATCAAATCAGAATCGCCGAAGGTAATACTTGGAGCTTCATAGGGCCGTTTTGCTGGTGTGGTTTGCTTTTGGGGGCCAGGATGAGACTGAATTAAATGTACGGCGGGGGCTGTCGGCAGGCTGTATATCATATGGATTACCCCGAGCGGAGGAGAATCCTGCCTTAGGGCAACTGTTTTGGTTGAGTTATTTTTTCGGACGTGTTGCTGGAGCCGACCGTCTTGTACCAACTCCTCAGGGTGGTCTTTCAAAGCATAGTAACTGTCGGTATCATGACCGTGATCTTTGTGATATTCGCACCGCCTATCCCGTCTCCTTATGTCAGGGGGTCCCACCATCTTGGACGGCCACTTGAAGAACGACAGATGTTGAATTTTAGTCATGACCGTGCTGATCGGCTCCGACAACTCTGTATATTTCTTGGTCGCGCGCCTTGCACGCCTGTTATCCACTTAAAGTTGTTCATTAGCTCGGTGGGAGCATTGGTCGTTTGATCGGCACGAATTTCTTTTATCTCGTTTAGCCCGGCCCCGTGGTTCAAGGCTCCGTGATGGTACAGAACTTATCGGCTGAATAATTTCAGATGGGGCCGTCTTGATTGCTTGGTGCCCGGCTTTGACCCGCAGTGCGTCATCTTCAACTTTGCAATATTCTTCGACTTTCTTCATCAACGGCCAGACTGTTTTGGGGAGCCTTCTAGTCAAGGAACTTCGAAGGGCATTATCAGGATGCAACCCCATTTTAAAGGCGGTGATGGCCATTGAGTCGTTGCAGGCATCATCCACAAGATTAAAGCATTCCCAATAGCGCGCCTAATACGCCCGTAATGTTTCCCCTGACTGGATTTGCATTGCCCAGAGAGAATCGGCGTGCTTCGGCTGGACCTCATTGGTGATGAACCTTGCCTTGAAGGATTTTTGGAGTTGATGGAAGCTCTTAATCGATGCCGGTTCCAATTTATAATACCATCTGACGGCCAACGGTCCCAAACTGCTCGAAAATATTCGGCACATGAGGGCCTTGTCGTCCGCATGCAACGTCATAGCCTGCTTGTAATGTCGGATGTAATCAGTGGGATCTGATTTCCAATCGTAAAGGGTGAACGATGGGGCTTTAAACTTTTTTGGTAGTATTGCCTTCACGATCCGTCGCACAAAGGGATTATGCTGGTCCTCTTCGCCTGAACCATTTCGCCTTCACTTATGGCGTGCACGTGGACTTCTTTGGAGGAACTGGTGCTTTCAATTCGTCCCTTCCTTTTGGGTTTCGGGGATAATGAGTCAGAATCACTGTCACTTTCTTGTCTTCGAACTCAAGGTTGTCGATCGTCTTCTTTTAGAGGTCGTCTGGGATCTTGGCGTGCAGCTTGCTTGGATTTTGCTACTTCCAAGGCCAAATCCTGACAGAGGCGCTCGTTCTCAGCGATCATGTTTTCCAACCTCTATTCGTTTTGCTTCGCTTGTTCCATGATCGCTTGCACTGTCTCATGTGCTGAAGTCGAGGGTGAGTTCTGGGCAAGAGAGTCGAAGTTCAAGGCACGTCTTGCGGCGATAGTCTCCAGTCCAAGCATGTTTGTTGGAGTGAGGTCATCTCTCTGCCATAGATGTAGTTGAGTATTCCCACAGACGGCGCCAATTGTGGGGGAAGTGGTTTGGAAATACTCTTTTGATCCACTGAGACACTTGAGATCCTTAGCTAGTAACCTGAAAATGAATGAACACTCTGATCGGGGGTGCCAGAATCAGCACTCCGGCAGTTAAGTCAGTGTATGTTCTCTTAGTTACTTGTATCTTAAGTTAAGGGTAAAAGTTCTCACATACTTCTCTTTGGTTGCTGTTCTTCTATTTATATACACTCTTAGTCCTCAGGATGGGCCCCACTACTAATCTGTCGTGTGATTGCTCACTCAGCTCTTCTTTCGTCGTAACCTGACTTCCAATCGGCCCCTCGTTCAGCTGGCTTTATGGCCGACTAATCTATTCGGCATCCAAAACGTTCAAGACGGGGACAAGTACATGTACCAATTATCTAAATGTGTATTCGGTCTATCTGTGTCCATTTTAACCGGCTCCCACAAATATCAATAATGTTAATTATTTATTTTGGACTATTGATTATGATTATAACACATAAGATCATATTCAGAATATGATATAAAAAAAGGGTACATGTAACATTACTGAAATAATATTTGATATATATATATTTTTTTTTTTTGGTTATAGGAAAATCCTCCCACCCTCTCGCAGGTCCAAGGCAGCGCCCCATGAGGAGAGCACTAGGGTGTCCTGTTGTCCGTTCCGAGTAAGAGACTATAACCTGGAAGCTTGTCTCGACCTCCCAAGGCAAGTTTTGATTAAGTCAGGACTCGCACAGCGAGGAAGCATTAAATCCACACCAAGTAGCTGATTAGACATCCTTGAGGTTCAATCTCCTAACCAACAGTGCTTTACCCAAGAAATTGATCCAAAGAGAAAATTAAACCTGTAATCTTGAAACTTAAACTCTAAAATTTTACCACAATGCCACAACCCGTTGGCTTAATAATATTTGATGTTAAGTAAAAGCAACAGCCCCACGGGTGAAGTCAATAATTCTGTACAGGTCATTATGCAAAAGTTGAGACATTGATGTGGATTTGGAATCATGAATGAGTGCCATTATTATGGTTTAAACATGCATGCCAGTGCTTTTTATAATTTTTGGAACATAGCAATCACAACTTTATTGAGACATTACATGACGGTACTCAAGACCAACCAATAACGTTTCTTTTTATCAAATAAAAAAATGATATTTTTGACATAATTCTTCCATAGAATTTTAACAAAAAATAATGTAAATGATATTTTAAAAAAATTGTTATTTTTCCAAGTCTTGTCCTTAAAAATAATCAAGACTAATCAATTTAAAGGTGTTAATTTAAGCATATTGATTTTGGGGGGCAGGTTGCCCTAGTGGTAAGGACACACACGTGACTGTGTGAGTAAGACGCACGGTCACAGGTTCGATTCTTCATTTGGTGAGTGCTTGCAGTAGTTTGAAAAGAATACACGGCTTCCCCCGGATTACTTACCTCGCAAGATTAATCCTGCCTTCCCGAAAAACCAAAGGGTCGGGAATACTTGCATTATCAAAAAAAAATAAAAATAAAAATAAATTAAGGATATTGATTCTGTATCTTTTATATATAACAAGTATACTTGCTGTATGTAACACCTATATATAGGGACTTAAACCTCACCTAGCTAGCCCGGCAGTGGTGGTAAGGCAAGGTGGCCATGATGGTGGAGTGGCAGCAACAGAGAAGGTGGTGGTGGCAATGGTGATCTAATGATTGTGGTGGAGATGGGCAAAATAGGCCAAGCCAACCAATTTGGTTTTGTCACAATTAGATTTAGATAACATAACCAGGCACTCAATGCAGCAGAGGAGAGAAAAGAGAGAATAGCCTTCTTAACTTGCAGACCTTATAGATCTCATGAAGGACTAACCCTGCAGAAATGATGCTAGTAAACTATAGACCTCATGCCAGAATAATATCGAAATAATTTCCACAAGCTCAATAGCGCTTAAAGCATTTTACTCCAACATCTCAAGCACTAAAACATACTAATTGTCTTTTCTCAAACAACAACAAAAAAAAAGAAAGGCAAATCATCAATCTCCATCCTCAGATACGAAGTCTCAAGTCTTAATTTAGCTATCAAAACATAATGTATATGGAGTAAGTGCGGCGTTGCGTAACAAGCAATCAAAACTTGGTGGGTAGAACAAGCGTAAAAGCGATCAGCGCAACCTTCTTGCTTCCCTCTCAGACTCGAGCAGGGTGAGCACATCCCCTTCCCTCACCGGTCCCTTGACATTCCTCATGATAAACCGGTTCTGATCATCAATAAATTTGACCCTCACCTGGGTCACCTGTCCCCTTGATCCTGTGCGACCCATAACTTTCACCACGATGGCATGCTTGATCTGAGACTCCATTCTGAACCAGAAAAACAGATACTCAGAAATACTTTCTGGAAAAACATGCATCATAGAAAAAACATAAACAAGAACACCACAGCAGACATGTGACAGATACAATAGACAAGAAACCTCTGTATAAATTTCATTTTCATTTTCATTAGACAGTAACTACAAAAAAGAGAGGCATAGTTTTGCTGATGTAGTGCCCATTTTACTGAAATTAAATAACTGCGCAAGTTACTGAGAATATGCAATAAACATCAAAACTACCAAACACCAACAAATTTATAAAGTGAAAAGCTTGGAACTGCTATTCAGTTTAGGTTCGTTTGTCAATATAGAAATAAACCAAAAAAAACAATATTTAAGGCCCCCTTTGATTCCAATTGGTTTCAACCTACCAAGTAAAGTCTACGACAAATGTTCATAATAGAGTCGATACATATGATGAACACAGCAGATTCTGAAGGACTCATCTAATCTTGATTTTAAGGCACCAGAGTTCAATTTGAATGGCAACCAAACCACCTCTGAAAAAATTAGACACCCAAGCAGCTTCATTTCACGCATGTGGCACTGATAAACGAAATATAGTCCACTATAATATAAAGGCAAGACTAATCCATTCACCAAATACAGCTCCCTTGAGCTCAAACAGGTATATAATATATCATTGAATACTTTATGCATAATTGCACCATAACTCCATTAGACAAGAAGAAGAAAAGTTATTCCCCCCCTCCCTCCCCTTTTGTTTTTCAATTGCATAGAGCAAATAAGGGTATTTCTTTTTTTTCTTCCCTTTTTATGGTGGTCATGAAGTGAACCATCTCAAGTCATCCAAATCAACCATTAAGTTCATGTCAAGAAGCAAAATCCAATCAAAGAGCATGGGATTCTCCATTGCCAAATCACTTTGTCACACTGTCCCAAAACACTCACAACCGTTATGCCTCAAGATTACTATATCTAGAGATTCTCACATGATCCAATAATTGTGAATGTTTTGAAATGGATGGGCCCAATCAAAGAGCAGGAAATAATAACTTCAGCATCATACATGGCAAAAGATAGCACACTACACAGAAAATTGTGAATGTTTGAAAGTTGAAACAACTCCGACCTCAAAAACACAAGTTAAGTAGTTATAGATCTTCAGCAAGAAGAATGACCAAAAGAAAAGATATAATAAGCAGAACACAACAAACCCATCTAAACAAGATCATCTTCAAACAGGACTACCATTCAATCGAGACTACAATATCATTTCCCATATACATCCCCAAACAACTATACATACACACTCAAAAGATTTTGCACTCCTCTTCTTTTTCCAAATCTTGTCATTTAGCATGTGTAAAAATTTGTGTTATGCGTAAATTTTTATGTTAAAGACAAATATAAACTAGTAATCCTATACAAACTAACAAATCTTACAATATGTTTCTTACAAAAACTTGGTAGAACTAAGCTACTTTAAAAGACAAGAATGAAATAGATTCAGTTCTACCACCTTCAACTATTTTCTTTAACCTCAGGGGGCGGGATGTAATTTCTGAAACCTCAGGGGTATCTGTAATTTAGCCAAACCTCGAGGGGTGTATATGTAATTTGCCCAAAAAAGAAAAATCAAAGGGGAAAGAATTGAAGACATGATGGATAACTTAAAAACCGTAAGATGGGTTTTCTAAGAATATAGATGCATCAATCAAGAAACGGGGTGGGAAAATACTTCACAAAATAAATCATTTTTAAGATAAATATACAAAGTGGGATTTGAATTTACATACACTTAGTAGAACTAGGCTTCTTTAAAAGACAATAAAAACAATCTAAATCCTGAAGATGAATACATGGTCACAAATGTGTTCAGTTCTTCCACCTTCAACTATTTTCTTTCCTTTCTCTCTCAAAAATCCCAGAAACCAAACACAAACAACAGACCTAGAAAGTCAGATAACATTAAATAAAAAAAAACAAAAAAAAAAACAGAGAATTGATCACATAATGGATTACAAAAACCCTAAAATAGCTTCTAACAATCTTCAAATGACATTCATGAATAACAGTTGAGGAGAAACCTGTGCCGGGGAGAAAGAGGTGCGGCTGGAGAGACTTGGCGCAGGCTTGTAGTTTAGTTGGCGCTCGAATAGGGAGGCGAGAAACCCTAATGCGTTTTTAAGGGCCAAGTTAGTGGTGAAATAACATTTTTGCCCATCTTAAAATATACGTCACCACCCCCAAAAATTCTAATTTTTTTTTCGTATTTTTTTTATTTTAAAAAATTTTAAGTTATTTTTAAAAAAATTTAGGCACACTTAGCATAAATACACTTAAAAAATAAAAAATATATCTTTAAAAAATTTACTAAATACCAAAAATTTAAAAATTCAGTATATTTTTCATATTCTTGTGTATTTATTATTTTTTAAAAATGTTTTTTCACAAATATTTTACTATTTATATACACTGAAGTAAGATGAATCTAAAAAAGTAAAAAAATTACTTTATATTTTAAAAATATTCATTAAAAACAAAACATGGCTTCTTAGGCGTATTGAAGGAATTCAAAAAGCCCAGGCCAATAATTTTTCTCATAATCTGTGTATTCTCGAGAAAGAGTTAATTTCTGATTACAATTTAGCTCTTTATTAAGAAGAGCTATTGTGGTTCCAAAAATCTAGATCCAACTAGATTACTCAAGGGGATAGAAATACTAAATATTTTCATGTTTCCACCATTATTAAATGAAGGAGGTTGAAAATTGAGATGCCCAAGTTTGACAATGGTGAGTGGGTGGACCAAATTCATGATTTAAAAGTTTTAGTTAAAAAAAATTTCATCAACCTTTTTCAAGCCACTCCCACTGTTAGACTTGATCACTGGAATGGGTTAATTTCTTGTAAGCTTACGGATGAGAATAATAATGAGATCTGTAAAAGGGTCACCAATGAGGAGATTTTGAGTGCAATTAAGAATATAAAAGCATTCAAAGCCCCTGGTAGTGATGGTTTTCAAGCTATTTTTTACCATACTTACTGGGATATTGTTGGCCCCTCGGTGTGTGAGTTTGTCAAGAATTGTTTTCATACAAATTCTGTCCCTAGAGAGATGAATCAGACCTTGATTGCTCTCATTCCTAAGGTTGAAAACCCTGAGTCTATTAAACAGTTTCGGCCCATTAGTCTTTGTAATGTTACTTATAGAATCATTACTAAAATTATTGTGAGTCGTATTAGACCTTTTTTGGATAATATTGTTCGACCTAACCAAAGTAATTTTATTCCTGGCCGTACGACCAGTGACAACATCATTATCACTCAGGAAATTATTCATACTTTGATAGGCAAGAAGAAGAAAAAAGGTGATTTGATTTTAAAAATTGACCTTGAAAAGGCCTATGATAATATCTCATGAGTTTTTTTGCAACAAACTCTCCAGGAATTCAATTTTCATCCTAATCTCATTATGCTTATTATGAGTTGTGTAACTATTGTCCAATCTGATATTTTGTGGAATGGTGAGGTTTTGGAGGATTTCACTTCGGGAAAGGGTTTGAGATAAGGAGACCTGTCTCCTTATCTCTTTGTTCTTTGTATGGAGCGTTTATCTAACATAATTTGCAACAAGGCTGCCCTTAAAACTTGGAAAGGAATTTCAATTGGTAGAGAAGGCCTGTGTATCACTCATTTTTTTTTTTTTGCGGATGATCTGCTTTTATTTGCCTCAACGAACCCCACTAGTTGTGAGACTATCATGGAAACTCTTAATGAGTTTAGTGATATTTCTGGCCTGCAAATTAATACTCACAAGTCCAAAATGTTTGTCTCTCCGAATGTGAATTGTAGCTATGCTCGCACCCTCAGTTCTTTGTGTGGTATTCCTTTAACTAGGGATCTGGGAAAGTACCTTGGGGTCCCCCTTCTTCATGGTAGAATTAGTCGCAGCCATTTCAACTCCATTTTGGAGAAAATGCAAAAAAGACGTGAGGGATGGAAAATCAATACTTTATCCTTGGCTGGGAGAGCCACTCTTATACAATCAATTACTTCAGCCATTCTGGCATACACTATGAAAACAATGAAAGTCCCTATAAGGGTGTGTGATGAGATTAATCATTTGAACCGAAACTTCCTTTGGGGTGATACCCTCGAACAGAGGAAAATTCACCTGTCACGACCCAAACCCGCCCCTATGGGTTTAGTACCGTAACCGGCCAGTAATCCGAGATTACCGAAGGCCTGCTTAATAGTAATACAGTAATACAGAGTACAGGGGCTGGCGGAAGCCAATACAGTAAATAAATAATGTCCAATGAGCTGTGACAGTCTGTATGCCAAAAAGACTTTTCATTCAAATATATGCAGTCAGACAAAACAGTATGTACATATATACGGTCATCCAGTTCAGGGACCTAATCCCTATCAAACAGTACAGTAACAGTCCATACAGTCAAACAGGACAGATACAGAGACAGACGGGGAATTTAAAAACACCCCTAAGCCGTAGCTTGACAGGCTCGGAACCTCGCAGTGAGGCACAACGGCTGGCTTGACAAAACTGGAGTTTACCCCGACACTTCTAGCTGCGATCTGGTGCTTGCACACCTACATATATATATGAACAATGAGCTAAAGTCCAGTGAATAACACAATGCGTAAAAAGGTTAAGAATGAATGTCCTTACAGTAATGAAAACAGTTCATTAAATCAGTATTTCAGTCGTTCAGTCGATACAGTCATATGTGGTACATCCATTAGCATAACAGTACAGTAAACAGTAGGTCTTAAAAAGACCGAGCAGTAAATGATGGCCATCAGTCGGTAACAGTAGTGGTTCCAACGAGGAAACCGACAGAGATCTCTGTAGCAGTAACAGTAAACAGTAGTTGCTAAGGATGCCACAATACAGTTCAGAACAGTATCAGTTCAGAAAGCAGTACGGTTAAATTGTTCAGAAGATAATCATTTTGAACATATCTTTACACAGTTGTTACTCACAGAGTTCTGGGCTACAATAAGCTAGAGCGCGTCCCCAGTCATCAACCCTACACAGTTACAGATTGAACACACACTAAGCTACACAGTTGGGAAGGATAATAACTTAATCCCTAATTGCCTCGGTGTGTTCTACATCTATATCCTCATTAAGATGCCTTAAACTAGGCCTAAGAATGCCTAGGATGAGATGAGGATGCAAAGATGCACTTGAAAAAGCATTTCCAGATTTTTCAGAAAACAGGGGTCACGCTCGAGCGTAGGTTAATCCGCTCGAGCAGACATGCAGACAAAGGTTTCCTCTCGAGCGTAGATTTACCCGCTCAAGCGTTCTGTCACCCCGCTCGAGCGTGAGTCCAAATTCTGGAAATTCCAGATTTGAACCTCAAGCTCAAAACCAAGTTTTAAACCATAAATTTCGATCATCTTGGGCCCATTGTCCAGAAAACACATCAAAACTCATACTTTAACATGATTCAAAGCTCAATTTGTAAAATCAAAGCCCAAGGGTGTTTCAAATAAATCCAATTCAAACCAATTTCCATGAATATGAAGAACATGCAAACATGCATGAATTTAAACACTTCAAAGCTTCAAATGCTAGCTCAATTGAGCCAATTCTTTCTAAAAACATGATGAAATCATGGACTACTCTTAAAACATGGACATGCATGTGAGGAATGTGA